GGAAACCTCTACTTGGAGGTAGCCCACACCCACACCAACAGTTCACTGTCGTTTGCACCTCAGAGTCCTGTTCCCAAAAATACCTCCATAGCAAACTCATTCTCTGAGCACATTACCTCTGCCCCTAATGCTGACAGCTCACAGGGTACCCAAGGGAAGGATGAAGACCCCCCTCCCCAGTGTCCTACCCCAGGCACACTCAGCAGCTCCCCACCAGTCGCCCCCAGACTAGACAGAGATCTCTGCCTCTTTTGTCCTGTATGGAGCATGAAGCAGGGGTGCTCCTTCCAGGAGACCCCCCCCCCCATAGCTCCAGTCTGCACACCTTGCACCTCTCCTCTCTTTGTAATCCGTTCTTCTCTGCCCTTCTTTGCGCCTAGTTGCTCGCTTTCCACTTCCTGTTGTTTGTGGAGATGGAGCTCTGCTTCCTCCCTGCTTTCTCCTTTGAGCCTGATTGTGGAAGCAGTGCAGTCTGCTGTAACCCTCGCCTTTGCCTTGCTGCTGCTTGACTTCAGCCAAGTCTTTTCCCTCGCAGACTTCATGCGATGGGGGAAAGAGCGGGGCAGAGGACGATTAGATGAGGTGGTCTTGAACAGCCTTCCAACTCTGACAAACTCTGGTTCCACGGCTGATTATAGGAAAACAAAGCATAAACCATTAGGACATTGCTCAGAGGAGACCCGAGAGGCCCCAGTCCTCCCTGTACGGACATCCTTTTTCCTCAGGCCTTCTATACATCCTGCAGGGTCATTCTCTTAGGGGTCTTTTCCAGACCACCCTGGCATGAAAACTCCAAAGTGGAGGTGGTCAACCCAGCTCATATTGTAGGCATCACTTTTGCCTCTTATTATGAAGGGGAAGAACACGACCTGGCTGTTACTGCTATTGCTGCTGCTTGGAGAAGACCAAAGGGAGGAAAGGGAAAGAGAAAATCTCCTGACCAGGGAGCTGTTGTCACCATGGCAACTGCCTCAGCACCAGCTCCTCTGAAGCTAGGCGAGGATGTGGGATTATTGCCTCCTTCAGTCCCTCCCTACCTTCACCGCCACCTCTCCACTTAAACCTTCTAACCCTGAGCCTTCTAGAAGGAACCTCTGAGCACAGAGGGTCAGATTTAGAGTGAGAGGTGCCTCCTCAACTGGAGGACAGTCCTCCAGAAGCCACCACTCCACAGAATATACCCCCAACTAGGCTCTGGTCTTTGTTTTGCAGCTGATGGGCTCCAGCTAGTTGACCTTGGGTGAACCTTTCCTTTTCCTGACTCTGGGTTCCATTGTCTCTGATGACAGGAGATCCCAGATAAACAATGTGACATAGTACCAAGGAAGGGAGGACATGTTGCTCTTCTCTCATAATCTAAGTGCCATTCACTGAACATGACTGCATTCTAGGCTTTGCTTTCAAGCTTCTCCAGGGTGCTCTCGTGCAGACACAGAGGGAAAGCAGGAAGACAGACAGGAACAATAGAAAAAAAGGCACCTTTCCCCCTACCCAAGATGCTCAGAAAGAGTCGAAGTTCTGTTGGAAGGGGAAAAACTTATTGTTGGGCAGAAAGACCTGGGGACTTCCCTTGTTTCAGGCAATTCAAAGGCTTCCCTTAGAATCCTGGATTATTAGATAAGTCAGGAGGTGGTATATGTGTGAGAATTCCACCCCATAGCTTCTGCCAGTGCCCAGAGGGCTGAGCCTACGCTGTTGCCTGACCACTGCCCGGCTTGGAAAGGGTTGATTGCAAGGAAGAAGGCGGCAGTGAAGAAGTGAAGGCAGCTTGCAGCTTGCGTCTGCCCAGAGAAGAAAGGGCAAGAGAGAGACACTATTTAAGGACATTGATAAGGTGGGTTCTGGCTTCAAGATACCCGAGTCAGGGAGAGTGGTTATGGGGAGAGCAGTGGAGGGTGAAGATCAACAGGTGAGCAGTTTGAGACAAGATTCTAGATGATTCTGGAGTTTCAGGGGGTCTGATGGTGTGTGTGTGTGTGCCTACCCTAACCTTGAGATGAGATTATAAAAGATTCTGGCACATACTGTAACTAGGAGAGATCATGTCTTGGAACAGAGGTTCCAGAAGGAAGGCCCTTCTGTGGGGCAGGTAAGCCCTGTTGACCATGGGCTTGACTTGGCAAAGAGCTTGCCTGGTCTTCAGCACTGTGAGCTCACGGACATAGCAAATGTTCCAGGAACATTTCAAAAGGAAAAAACACAAGGCCTAATGGCAAACAGGACCTGGAGAAAGGGGAATATCAGAAAAGTCCATAGGATCTGTTTTTTTTTTTTTTCTCCTTATACTGAACACCCAGAGGTGGCAGAGAGAGAAGGGAGGGAGGGAGGGAGGGAAAGAGAGAGAGAGAGAGAGAGAGAGAGAGAGAGAGAGAGAGAGAGAGAGAGAAGGAGGGGGGGGCAAGGAAGAAATTCGAGTTGAGGCTGAACCTGGCTGCGGCTGCATTGGCTCAAGATTACTTGTGGGCATCCACTAGAATAGACAGATAGTTTCTCCTATCAGAGACTGTGGGCTGCAGCTCAGGCAAAATGGTCTCTCGCAGACCACAGATTAGAGCTATTTTTCCAAGAAGGCAGGAAGGGGTAGAGAAGGTTTGTGCTGAGAAGGAACAGTCATGATGTAGAGAGGACAATCAGGCAGGTGGTAAGGACTCAGCCTGGATGCTCAGCGGACTCCTCCACTGACTCCTGTCTAAGCCACTGCTCTCTCTCAATTTTGTCTTTCACTAAAACAAGGGGATGATATCAAACGGTGCTGCCTACTTTAGCTTTCTGACAATCTAAAAGAGATGAGGGGGTGCTTTCTGGTCCTCACTGGGTCTAGGGCCAAAGGAGGGGCAGGGCACAGGTAAGGACCCTGAAGACAGAAGGGTGGGAAGGTAGCACAGGAGAGAGAAGAAAGGGAGCAGAAGGTGAGGACCACACAGACACCATGACGCATAGAGATGTGCGCGCTCTGACAGATTTGCAGCCTCATGCGTTGACACCCTCCTACACATGGACCCAGCCCCTCGTGCCGACACTCAGGCGCATCCTACAAGAGCCCCGGGAGAGGTTCTGCCTCCCCCACCAGACACCTTTGCTTCCGGGGTTTCCAACTTCCTTATGCCTTGAGCTTACACAATTGTTGGGGGAGGATGCAGCTGAGATGGTCCCTCACTTCTGTCTACGGGAGGTCTAGAGGCACCCTTGATTCTGGCCCTGGTGCAGTTTTAAGCTCCCGAAGATAGCATGAATCCCCCTCCTTGGCTTCTCCTGTGGAATTCTTCATCTTCTGGGGGTGGTAGGCTAGTAGCTAGGGAAGGATCTGTTCCTTGATCTCATGACCCAGAAGAGGACCCTGAGATCCAGAGATATACTGTAAGGAGCTTGTGATCTCATGACCCAGAGAAGGATCCTGAAATCTAGAGATAAACTGTAAGGAGCTTGTGATCTCATGACCCAGAGAAGGACCCTGAGATCTGGAGATATACTGTAAGGAGCTTGGGAACCATTTGCCTTGTTTTCTATGTTCATCTCACTCCTCAATCCAGTCAGCAAGGGCTACCAATGTCTCCTTTCAGCACCTCTCAGTCCGTCCACATCTCTCCATTTGAACTGTATGCCAAGCCCTTCCTTGTACAGCACACCACTCTCCACCTCAAGCTGTCTTGTACTCGAGATCTGTTTTCATTATTTTCAGTGATGTGTAGGCATGCGTTTGTGGGTATGTGCACATGAGTGCAGGTGCCCTCGGAAACCAGAGGTGGCAGATGCCCTGGAGCTGGTATTCCAGCTGGTTTGTGAGCCGCTTGACATACCCAGGGTGCTGGGAACCAAACTTGGATCGTCTGGAAGAGCAGCAAGTGCCGTTAGCCACTAAGGCATCATTTCAGCTCGACCTTCAAATCATCTTGCACATTGCAGCCAAAAGAAATTTCCCCCCCAAATGCCTGGATTTCCAGGACATAGATCAGGACCTGGCATATTGTGAGCATCCTATGCTGTGGGATGAATGTTGGCTTCCAAACTCTTGCTTTAAAATGTTCAGGTTGGAGGCTGGAGAGATGGCTCAGAGGTTAAGAGCACTGACTGCTCTTTCAGAGGTCCTGAGTTCAATTCCCAGCAACCACATGGTGGCTCACAGCCATCTGTAATGAGATCTGGTGCCCTCTTCTGGCCAGCGAGCGTACAGACAGACAGAATAATGCTGTCTTCATAATAAATAAATCTAAGGGGAAAAAAAAGTCCAGGTTGGCATGGATTGAAGGCTCTTTGTCGTCTATCTCCGGAAACATTGTATGAACCACTGAAGGCTGGCTCATCTTAATTTTATCCTTACACTGAGTCCAGGCCTCCAACAAATGCTCAGGGAGTGAATGGGTTAATGAAAAGCAAACTGTAATCAGGGCCATCCCTGCTCCAGGCGAGGACTTCTCCATATACACAGGAAGGAAGAAGAGATGCTTCCTGTGTGGGGTCCCCAGGAAGGCCTGGAGGAAGAACTTGGGAAATGGTTCCTGAGGGACACTGGAGGAGAGGAGTCTACCCAGGAGGGAGGGTGCGGAATGCAGACAGCCCTTGCTAGCAGGGAAATTAGTTGAGGCTTCACACTAGGGACCTAGGGAATGATGGGTGATGGGAGAGGTGGGGATGAAGATTGTACCACAAGTCACTGAGGGGGTCATTTGTCCTCAGGAAAGGCTGGAAATGTCCTTCCAGGAGGGGTCTGCTCTGGGGTGCAGGGTGTTGTGGGGGGGGGGGTCCTGCTCTGGGAAAATCAGCTTCCTATGAGAAGGGGGTGAGTGAAGGCTGAGTGTGTTGAGGAAGGTGGGGCTTGCTGAAGTGGGTGGCCAGGGAAAGGGGGGGCTGTTGTGGAAAGAGGAATATTGACTTTAGGAAGAGGGCCCCCTTGTGGACGGGTGAAGAAAGGTCCAAGTTGGGCGAGGGTGGAGAATCACTTTGCAGAGGTGAGGTTCTAGCCTGGGCCGTGTTGAGGGAGCTCTCTATCCTGCAGGCACACCATGGGGAAGAACAACAGCAAGCTGGCCCCCGAGGTGCTGGAAGATCTGGTCCAGAACACAGAGTTCAGCGAGCAGGAGCTAAAGCAGTGGTATAAGGGGTTTCTGAAGGACTGTCCCAGCGGCATCCTCAACCTGGAGGAGTTTCAGCAACTTTACATCAAGGTGCAGGGTGGGGCGTGGCATGGCGGGGAGGGCGAGTACTGGGGACCTGAAAGCTGGCGGAACTCAGAAGGATGGGGTAGGCGGGGAGGGTGGGACTGTCGCTGCACCCCAATAACCCGCACCCCACCCTCAGTTCTTCCCTTACGGAGACGCCTCCAAGTTTGCGCAGCATGCTTTCCGCACATTCGACAAGAACGGCGACGGCACCATCGACTTCCGGGAGTTCATCTGCGCCCTTTCTGTCACCTCCCGTGGAAGCTTCGAGCAGAAACTCAACTGGGCCTTTGAGATGTACGACCTGGACGGCGACGGGCGCATCACGCGCCTGGAGATGCTGGAGATCATCGAGGTGCGGGGCCAGGATGGGCATCCAGTGTCCTTGATCCTCTGGAGTCTCCTAGCTGCTCCCCAGCGTTCTCCCACCACAGTTCTGTGCCTAACCCGTCGGGTAGATGGTGTCAGGTACCCCGTATATTCCCAGATGAACAAAAGGCAGCATGTGGCAGCCATCCGTGGATCAAATCTAGGGTAGCCAAGTGGTTAGCCATTTGGTTTTTCAAGAAGTCAGTATTGAGGTCTGAAGAGACGGCTCAGCATGTAAAGGTGCTTGCTACCAGGTCTAACTACCTAAGTTTGAGCCTGGGACCCCACGTGGTAGGAGAGAACCAATTCCCACACATTTGGCTTCTGACCTTAGACAGGCTGCGCCCTTGCTGACTCTCTATCTCCCTTCCTCCCTCCCCACCCCTCTCTGTTTTTCTTTTTTTTTTTTTAAGTTTCGTCTTTTTTTTTTTTTAAATATTGTGTCTGCCATGTGTTTTCATAGGAGACTCCTTCTCATAAATCAGTAAGTAAATTTGGGTCTTGCCAGGCAAAAATGGTATGAAAAAAAAAAATAAGCAAAGGAAGGGAGAGTGACGGAGGGAGATGAGAGGGTGCTGATGCTGAAGTCTGCAGAGTGAACCACCCGTGTCGGTGAAGCTGTGTTTGCACGGCTCGAAGTGTGTTAGGAGGCCTGAGCAGTAGTGGCGGTGTGAGTTGGGGGAGAGGGGCACGGAGAATGACAGGAAGATGGACCCGCAGGGAGCCAGGAGTCCCATCGGTGGCTCTGGCTAGAGTAGAAGCTTTAGGCATATCCTGAGTGTGGAGAGCAGATGACAGGGGAGACTGGGAGCTGCAGAGACGGGGAGACCAGTTAGAAGAAACTCAGTCAGGAGCTGGTGGAGGCTGCCTTCGTGCATGAGCTGTGGAAATGGTGGAAAGAAGTCGCCACAGGGCCTTCTAATGACAGAATTAGAATTGGCGTGTTTTGCTGAAGGAGCGGATGTATGTGTGTAGAGGAGGGGAGAGAACTAAGCATGGTGTCCCACCTCTGTCATCCCAGCACTCAGGAAGCTGAGGCCGAAGGATGGTGAGTTCAAGACTAGACTGAGCACCTAATGAGTTCGAAACCAACATGGGCTACAGGGGAGGCATTGTCTCAACTTGAGGGTTTTTTTTGTTTTTGTTTTAAATCTGGCAGAATGAAGTCGATACTTGTTGAGACAGAGAATTCTAGACGCCCAACAGGTGAGAAGTGGGCTAGAGAGTTGTTAAGACAATGATTCGTTTCGTTAAGGTGCTCATCAGGGAGACAGTCCTTTTGTCTTTTTAATTGATTGGGTGTGTTGGAGCACGCCTTTAATCCCAGAACTCAGTAGGCAGAGGGAGTTGAGTCTCTGTGAATTCAAAGCCAGCCTTGTCTACATAGCAAGCTCCAGGTCATTCAGAATTCCATAATGAGTAAAGAAACGTGTGTGTGTGTGTGTGTGTGTGTGTGTGTGTGTGTGAGTGTGTACACAATGGAGGAGAGGGGTGCGTTACCACAGTGTCTGTGTGAGGTCGGAGAACAACTTTGTGGGGTTAGTTCTTTCCTTCCACATTTATGTGGGTTCTGGAGACCCAACTCAGGTCATCAAGCTTGTGCAGCCAGCTCCTTACCAGCTGAGCCACCTAGCCAGCCCTAAAGAGCCAGTCTTAACAAGCATGTGTCTCTGTCTAGTGCCTTCTCCTCCCCCAGTATCCCCTCAGTCCACCCCAGACCCCTTTTCTTCATCCTCAGTCCTCCCTGCCGGTCGGGTGTTCACACCTGCGTCTCTGCTCCATCAGGCTATCTATAAGATGGTCGGCACCGTGATCATGATGCGCATGAACCAGGATGGGCTCACACCCCAGCAGCGCGTGGACAAGATCTTCAAGAAGATGGACCAGGATAAGGACGACCAGATTACGCTGGAGGAGTTCAAGGAGGCAGCCAAGAGCGACCCATCCATTGTGTTGCTGTTGCAGTGTGACATGCAGAAGTAGAGACTGGTGAGGGGCAGGGTCCCTGGCCAGGACAGGCATGGCACCACCCAACCTGATGTCCTCTCTGCTGGCCCATTTCCAGGGGGAGGGGCCTTCCAGCCTCACTCTCTCGGTCACCCACTCCTCTGCCCAAGCCTTTCTCTCCTCAGTCAAGTTCCATGAGGGACCACCTCATCCTGCAAAAGAGACGGGTCCTCTCAAGTAGCCTGTCCTCAGATAGTCTGTCACTAGCTCCACCTCTAGCCTTGGCCTAGGACCAACATCCTTTGGGCTTAGGGGAGTTGGCTTTTGACCCAAGAGGCGAGGTTAAGGAGGGGGGCTGAGGGCAATCCTGTTGTTCCCAGGATTCGGCTCTAAATAAGCAGTGTGGTCCCACAGGCCCCCAGTCAAAGGACCAAAGTAGGTCTATCCTTTGCAGATTCCTTGAGAGGTGGTCTCTGCCCTGCCCCCCTTGACTCTACCTGGCTCCTCTGGCCCCACCCTTGGGAACGTTCATTGAGTCTTTTTCTTCAGCTAATGCTTGTTGAGTCCTTGTTCAATGCCAGGCACCTGAAGGTGCTAAGAATACGGTTGTTTACAAAAACACATTCCATGCCCTCTGAAAGCTCACAGGGCAATGAGACCACTTCCAAGGGTTGAGGTCTTAGTGGGACACAGCGGAGATGAGGGTGTAAGGCAGCTGGCAAGGTTTTGGAACAAGTGTGCCCTCCAGCTGTGCCCCCCAGGGCTGCAGAAAGACCAGATGAAAAGCCTGTGGAAGCTTAGGTGCCACGTGGGTAGAAATTTTAAGAAAAATAAAAATTTATGTAATATTTATTTTTTTAGGGCCCTTTCAAAGAGCTAAGATCATTTTACTAGACTATTAAGATATACTCTATATTACTTGGTTTCTTATAAAAAATGACTTAAATGGATATAAAAATGCTAATTTTCAAGGGGGGAAGTGTTTAGGCAAAAGGGGTGGGGGCACCAGCAGACTTTGAGAACCTGCGCTCGCCCATCAGCAGACCCTACTGCTTCTGCTACTTCCTTTTCTCGCCCCTTTTCAATTCCACAAGTGACTTTCTGTCGCACGATTTGGGTGCTGGCATCAGAGGTGGAGACGAGGTTTGCCTTGAGCCCGAGCAGTTCATGTCCCACATCTCAGCGGCTTGTTTCTGAGTTTGGCTGGTTTCAGGGACTGGCTTGTTCCTTCACAGCCTCAGCTAGAAAGAGCCAGAAGAAAAGGATCATCCGGCCACTGTTCGGGCTTCTGGGTGGCATGTATGGACCAAATGCCTAAAAAATATGCTGGGCGTACTCCATGAGAAAGGCTTTTTCTGACCCCTCCACCCTAGATCTGCCAGGAGAACAAATCCGTCACCTTCCAGGCTCAACAGCTGGGCTTTCTGAACTTTGGGGTCTAGGAGCTAACTATTGCATTGCATGCTTTCCAGAGAAGCCTATCTTGCTTCTGCCCGTCCTTCACTTTCATCTCGCCTGTGCTTGTGATCAGGAGTTAGCTTTGACGTGCAGTGACAGTTGACTTCGTCCTGAACTGCTGGGAAAACTGCCTCATGTTCTCAGTCAGGGTGGGAGTAGAGAAAGCCTGTGAAGCCGGGGCGTGCTGTGGTGGAGATTGCCCTGCAGGAAGGATACTGTTTGCCTCTCTCTCTCTCCTGAGTGCTTACCTCCCTGCTGCTAGAAACTTTTGGAGATGCTGACCCGTGGCCCAAAACTCTGTCAGACCTTCCTTGTGGCATTTGGAGGTAGCAAGCCACCTTCTTCCTGTCCTGCCTATCCAGGCCACGTGGTGAGGCTGAGGAAGTCATAGCCTCAAATGATGCTAGCAGGTGTTTATCTGGTGATGCTTCTCGGGGCTGTTCTATAGCGCTCACGAGCTGCCTGTTAAGTGCGCCTTGTGCTGCCGTCAGCACCGCGCGACAGCCTGGCTCAGCTGGGACCTGAATTTCCTAGTAACAAGCTTTTCCTTCCCCCCAAGTGTCTCACGGTGACCAGAATTCCTCGGCTTTCAGAGGCTTGTATCTACTTGCATCTCATTTTGTCCAGAGAGATGGCGGGTTTCGGGGACCTTTAGCCAGGCTTGGAAGCTAAGGTTAAGGGTTGAAGGTGGGGAGGTCTCTTGTGTGAGAGCAAGTAGTCAGGAGATGACACAATGCTGAGACTCGAACACAAGATTCTCTAAGAGACTTTTCTCTGCCCCGTTCATTTCTGCATCTGTTTGTTCAGATGTTGACTGCAGGACAAATTGACTTTTGTCTTTCTGAAGCTTCCGGCCAAGAAGTTTCTGAGGCTATAGTCTTCCAAAAAAAGAGGAGGAACTTGAAGTCTCTCCATTTTCAAGCATCTTCTTTTCTGCTTCTGGGCGGCCTTGCATAGACCAATGCCATTCTTGGAGGCTGCTAACCAAATTCCAGAAGCATCTTACATTGTCTTCCCCACTCTCTTCCTCCCTGAGAGAATCGCTTTTGTTTTTCCAAGCTAGTAGGCAAGTTCTTCCCATGTGACTGATCACTCCAGACTTCAGGCTGCCTATTCATGGGCAGTATTTGTTACTGCCAAGGGTTTCAGACAGCTCAGCAGGCCCCAAACTGTCCCTGCCTTCCTGCTGATGGGAGGAGCCACAGGCAGGTTAGACCTTGCTCCCACAATCTCTTGGGTGTCTGGAGCACTGCGTGCCCAGGACACCATATGGTAGAGCACCCGTCCCTGTCTTGAGAAGAGCAATAGGTCCTCCATCTCTGCTCCAGCTTAAGAAGAAGCACTTTGCACGAAGCACAAGGTTAGCAGAGATCTAGGCGTGACTCGCACAGACATGAAAACACACAGGCAGTCAAAGCGTTGATAGACCCAAGTTCTCCTTTGAGCTTCTGTATCCTCTTCCGGGATTCTGTGAATTGCGTTGGTTCCAGATTCAGCCTCCTCATACCTGCTATCCTCATTCATCCTCTCTGGCTAAGCGATGAGTCCCTATTTCTCATCTCGAAGACTCATCCGCGTAGGCTGCTTAGCTCAGGTGCCACTCCAACCCGGGCAGCTGCATAATTACCGACTTCCTTATAAGAAGAAGAAAACAAAAACAAGCCCGTTAGCAAAGGCACTAATTCTTCTCTGCCCTGGCAATGGCGGAAGCTCAGCAGCAGAAATTTATTTCACATGGGAGGTCGTGGGAGCAAGGAAAGAGAGGAAAGAGAGCCGGTCCTCCCAGGCAGGGCAGGAGTAAGCCAACACTGTCGATATTTTTACACAAAAACTTAGGAAAGCAAAAGTCATTTCCTGAGGATCCACCCGGGATCTTTGAGGAAAGATCAGTGAGGCTTTGTGTTGACTTTGGAAATCACCGTAGGGTTACGAATACATTTCTTACATAGCTCCTTCATTGTTCTTAGCGAAAGAAATAATTCATGTGCTCAATTTGAAAGTCTTTAGAGAGACATGGGCTTTTTTTTCTAGACTTTCCATGGTTTTCTCTTCTTAGCTTTGCCAGAGTGTGGGGTCAGGGCAGGGCCTCCCAGGATGCATGAGTCTCTCTGCTTAGTGGAGGCTGAACAGGTCCAGCGCCTTCCAGCAACAGCAGGGAGGAAGCAGACCCCCCCCCCCACCCGCTAACCTCCAGATTTGCTTCTTCTAGCTGCGCCCACAGCAACCATCTTCACTGACTAATCCTGTGCCGTGTGGTGTGTGTTTTCCCCACTGACAATGAATAAAAGGCGTGACTGTGTAATGTCTCCTCTTCTTTCCTAAACTGGCTGGGCAGGGCTAGGGTGGGGCCACGGGAAAGAGGCCCACGGAGTTCACAGAGCACCTTGGAGCCTCCTCAAGGTCAAGCTAGATCTTTGGTCTGGTGGGGAATCTAGTCATATAGCGCAGCGACCCACTTTAGCAACTTCAAAGGAAAAGGGACACAGATCGCAAAGGATCCCAATGGCAGGCAATTCAGGACACGGGGACCAGGCTGGGAATGTAGCTCAGTTAGTAGACTCAGCACGCACAAAGCCATGGGTTCAATCCTCCGCACTGCTTAAAGTGGATGTGGTGGTACAGTCTGTAATCTCCGCATTTGGGAGGTGGGAACAAGAGGATTCGGAGCTTAATGTCATCCTAGGCTATTTTGCTGAGTTCAAGCCCAGCCTGGGATACATGAGTTCTTGTCTAAGAAGCAAAAATGAAAAGATCTGGGCTTAGAACTGGAGAGATGACTCAGTGATTAAGCACTGGCTGCTCTTCCAGAGGTCCTGGGTTTAATTCCCAGCAACCACACAGTGGCTCACAATCATCTATAGTGTGGTATCTGTTGCCCTCTTCTGTCTGATGTCCTTTTCTGTCATGCAAACATACATGCAAAAGATCACGCATATACATAAAATACATAAAAAACAGTTTGAACTTCCAAACTAGAACTGGCAAATGTGGCAACTGGGCCTCTCCCTTTCCAACCTTGGGATCATGGGCTTTGAGTCTCTGGGTAATGGTTACTGTGTATTTTGTTTGTTTAAAACAGGGTCTACTACTTAGTAGCTCAACCTGGCCTTACGCTCCTAATCCTCCTTTAGCCTTCTGAGCCCTGGGATTGTAGGAGTGTTCCATCATTCCTGGGAGGCTGTTAATGGCAGGAGACGTTGGTAGAAGGCATCCCAAGAATCCAAACAAGTGGATAGTAACTGATGGCTAAGAGCCAGACGATGGCTGTATGCTGTCTTTGTGTAAATGGAGAAGAGACACTCTTCTGAGCGAAAGGAAGTGTGTAACTGAGCAGTGAACAGCACTTTTGGATTCCTTAGAAACATATGGCCAGGCAGAGGCATGCACGCCTTTAATCCCAGTACATGGAAAGCAGCGGAACGTGGATCTCTGTGAGTTCCTGGTCAGTCAAGGCAACACAGGGGAACCCAGTCTCAAAAGGAAGGAAGGAAGGAAGGAAGGAAGGAAGGAAGGAAGGAAGGAAGGAAGGAAGGAAGGAAGGAAGGAAGGGAGGGAGGGAGGAGGGAGGAAAGGAGGGAGGGAAAGACAGAGAGAGACAGAGAAGCAAAAGCCAGCCTAATTTACATAGCAAGTTCACACAGTGAGACCCAAGATAGAGAAAGCCTAATTCCCCTTTTGCACAAATGTCATCCCAGTGTTCTCAGTTTACCAAGAAGAATGTGTGACGGATTTCAGCCCTCACCTGCCCTGATTGCAGAATCACTGTCGTATAAACCTGCCCCACCATCCTCAGGAACTCAGTCTAACCCTGGAGAGTTCCTACACGGACCCAGCGTGGAAGGAAGCGGTGAAAAGCTCTTTTCAGAATACCCCCTCGACAGCCAGAGGGGTTCAGGGGCAGTGGCAGGTGGAGGGACCAGCTTCTTTCTGAGCCGCTCCATTGCTTTTACAAGGGTTGCCTCAAGGACACCTGGAGAAGGCAGCTTTCTTGGCAGGAAGCAATTAGGACAGAGGAAGGCGGCTAACCTGCCTAGGGGTAACCATGAGCCAGCGGAGGCAGCTCTGACTCAGAAGCTGGAAAACCTAGAGTTGACGCAGGACGGGAAGTCCAGTCCCGCCTCCCTGGAGATGCACAGGTCCCTGGTTGCCTTCTTGACAAATCACTCAGTCTCTCACCAGGCAGGTGGATTTACCTCCTACTTTCCTTCCAGCCTTCCACCTCGCCTCCAAGCCAGGGGGGCATTTTTAAAGCGCACCTCCCATTAAGTCATCATTTCAAGGGCCCCGCCCCTGCATTACGATCGGTTCCTTAAATATTCCTCAAGGCCCTGCATGATCTGCCACCTTCTGACCTCATAATCCTTGAGGTCACGTTTTTCCTCCTGCTCCCTGTGTTGGAG